CTTCCCAACTGATTGACCCAAAGGTTCATCACAGCATTTATTTTTTTAATAGATGTCAACATAACGTGAGGGTGCCTCCTAAATGCTTCAGACACAGCTTCATCAGACCAACCCCATTTCTTGAAGGTATCAACTTTCTCCTTCCACAGGGAAGGACTTGTTTTTTTTATGGCCATCAACGCTATAACAAAAGTTGCTTTTGAAGGATCAAACCCCAAATCCTTTACTTCCTTCACCAACTTAATTATATCATTTGAGGCAAAGATCACCTTACTATGGTTCCCAAGCAATCTTGCAATGTTTGATTCTTTTACTTCATTCTCTAGCAGCAATATGATGTTGTGCGCCAGACGATCCCCGCAAGAGTAAAATGTATTACCAAACATACAACGAGTAGTCCTCACATGAGATTGCAAGAACTTATATATCAATTCATAGGTTGGGACTATATGATTCTCCAGGCTTGGACGCAGTACTCTAGGGTACTTACTTATTAGGTCAACAATTTCAGAGCTAGAAACATCCTTTGAGAGAAAAAACTCAAACTTTGGCAATAACCTTTTGCAGGGGTCACAAGAAAGCAACCACGGTGCCTTTGTAACCATATAGTTTATTTGAATATTAGAGAAACCGTGATTTCTGAAGAACCTGATCACTGTCTCGGGCTTTTCTGAGGTCTGGAAACTAATATTGTAGGACTTAGATGTTTTGGAAGCAGATTCAGGAGAGAATCCAAAGTTGTCAACGAGGTAGGATACCGCAAATGAGGGTGAATTTGAAGTGGCTGTGCAGAAACAGAGAGAAAGGAGGAATGGGTAGTGGTGGATAAAAGGGTAAGGTGATGTTGCTGTGGAAGTGACACATTTCAAGTACAGAAGTTTATTCAACATGGTGATGGGGTGAAAAACACAAGCTTTTCGAATTGAAGAAAATTCCTGAAAATTGAAAAGGCAAAGGATTGAATGACAATGATGTTACCTGAGCTTGGTACTGAGTAACTCAGATTTTGCGACAGATACAAGCTCCTGTTTCAAACCTCCCTCCTATTTTTCTGTTAGGGTTCCATTCCATATCTGTTCTCACACAGAGAAACAAAAGATCAACCGTGTAGAATTAAAGACCTGGAGCCGAATTTCTAAAAGAAATAAATAAAAAGAAGACAAAATAATCACACAAATGAATTAGAAAATTGTAATTAGAAAATTGTTCTGTAACATAATTTAAGGATCAAGTAATGTATTAATCCAATTCTAAATAAAAAAAT